CAATTTTCCTATATAATTTCTTTAGCTCGCTTTAAAATGTCTTTTTTTTTCTTTTTTTTTTCGTGCAACGGTCAGAGATATTTGGATCAACTTATGTGTACCTCGACTAATCCGCACTTCGGTCTGATTAAAGGCAGACTATTCACATCAAGACTAGGATATTTATAAGAGATAAATCCCTTATGATGTGATCCCAAAAAAATTGCCAAAATTTAAATTCAAGACATCTAAATTTATAATTCGTTTTTATTACCACTTCAACTAGTTACCCTTTTGAAAATTTTGAAATATTTGTTAAACAGACAGATCTGTCAACTGCCAGGATTTCATCCAACCTTACTGTATAAGATCGTTTTAGCCTGGATGTTGACCAAATTTCATGAATGACGCTGTGAGTGGGTGGATAAGCACATGCAGTCCCTAACGAAAAATAATCATTACAGGTGCAATGTCAATGTGCTCCAATATATTATTAGGGAAAATGTGATCATGAGTAATCTATCATTATCAGTATGTATTTGATACAGCACAGGCATAAAATTTTATATCATATACAACAAGGTCTAGATTGGGTCACTATTAAAAGGAGTTATAAGCTTCCAATTAATCGTTTAAGCAGATCAAAATCTCTGATTTTTATTTTCTTTGGGATTTCCTTTAATATTTTTCTACACCTAATGGCACATATATATATATANTCTGATTTTTATTTTCTTTGGGATTTCCTTTAATATTTTTCTACACCTAATGGCACACACATATATATATATAAATAGAGAAGGTGTGTGTGTGTGTGCGCTTCCATAATATGTGTGATGTGTGATTTCTTGAGTTTGGTTCCTAAATGGTCAGATTAGGGGAGTAAAGAGTGTTTGTGACGTCACATCATTATTATTGAATGATATCATTATTCAATAATAAACATACAAATAGAGAAGGTGAACTCTATTTTTTTTTTACCTAGGGTGGTTATTTTTTTACACGGATAGAGAAGTTACTAAACTAAGTGGGATCTACTTTCTTACATGTTAAATAATTATTAGATACGTGACAAGGGTGATGTGAAGTCGTCGNTATTCAATAATAAACATACAAATAGAGAAGGTGAACTCTATTTTTTTTTTACCTAGGTGGTTATTTTTTTACACGGATAGAGAAGTTACTAAATTAAGTGGGATCTACTTTCTTACACGTTAAATAATTATTAGATACGTGGCAAGGGTGATGTGAAGTCATCATTACATTCAATATTTGCCCAAGATTAGGATATCTTAAGCGGAAAAATAAGGAAGATAGATGCAATGTCCATGTCTCCAACAAAGTTAGTTGTCAAAATGAGATGACACGCACTGCAACCCAATGTATAATTTTATCATTAATTCGATACTTGGTGAGGTTTGTGTGTTACACAATTTTATTATACCTATGAGGAGACTGATTCCGAAATTCAAGCCCGTGATATACAAATCATAATAATATAACCTCACATATGTGTCAAGAATTAAAATCATTAATTCTTCCCCTTAAACCTTCTAGGTCACCCTAATATAATTGTTTTTATATTTTTCTACACCTAATGGCATTTAGAAGGGATCTTTATATGCTTTAACAATATTTGTAATGAGATATCTTGATCAGGTTTGGTTCCCAAATGGTCATGGTAGGTGTACCTAAAGCTCAACCAATACTCCTTGTTTTTTCATTGCTTTCATTATCATCGCTGATTCTTGCCCTGCACTTAATCATTCTGCATAGTTAGTTAGCTTTTCCCTTACCCAACAACCAAGATCAACATTGTCATTCACACTCCTACGTAGCTGAAATNCATAGTTAGTTAGCTTTTCCCTTACCCAACAACCAAGATCAACATTGTCATTCACACCCCTACGTAGCTGAGACNTGCATAGTTAGTTAGCTTTTCCCTTACCCAACAACCAAGATCAACATTGTCATTCACACTCCTACGTAGCTGAAATCAGGTTAATCAAACTATTAGTTGATTGAGCAGGTGCAGTTTAGGTATTATAAAAGTAAATTAGGATTTGCACTCAAATTTGTCATACATATTTACAAACACACACATATATATACATACATAGGGCCAGAGCATCATGGAACTGAAGACCAATCTTTGGTGCCTTTTATATTAAGGGACGATTTCAAAAAGAATAACTTACTTTAGGATGATTTAAATTTTTCGGCCACGTGGCATATTTATAGATTACCTTTTCACTTACTTGACCATCAAGATCAAGGTTGTCATTCACAATATTTTCCTGTGTGGCTAATCCAATCTAATCAAACAATAAATTAGTTGGGCAGGTGAAGTTTTGTTGCAAGAAAAGTAAATTAGGTTTTGCACTCAACTTAATAAATGCATTTTTCAATTGCCTGTTTATAGTTGTTTGTGTGTGCGCGCGCGCGCAGCTGCTTGCTCACACAGGCCCACACCTTTAAACATACGTGCTCATAACGTTACGAAACTATTATTTTTACCATTTTTTTTTTGTTTTTTTGCCAACTGACGTGATTCAACTATACTTGGGATGCAACTTGAGCAGGCCAATTCGAATTTAACCCGAACCCAACTCAAAAAAAACAGGCCTTGAGTTAGGATTTTTAATACTTGAGTTGGGTTTGAATAAAAAAACCTTAATCTGAATTGAATTTGAGCAAGCTTCAGGTTGAGGTCTCGGGTTGTCGGGTTCAACTCGAATATTAAAATCGGGTTGAACTCGATTATTAAGTCGAATTGAACCTGAATATATATAAATATATTTAACTAAGGTTATTATTTATATTCACTCTTTACAGTTCAGATTTTCACTTCACTTCAACTCTTCACTTTTGTGTCTCCATTACTTTCAGATCCCTCTTTCATTCGTCCCTCTTCCCTCTCTTAGCCTCTTTCTCTCGATCGTCACTCGTCTGAGTTGTTTCAAACTCTCAGCCTGNAGTTTTGTTGCAAGAAAAGTAAATTAGGTTTTGCACTCAACTTAATAAATGCATTTTTCAATTGCCTGTTTATAGTTGTTTGTGTGTGCGCGCGCGCGCAGCTGCTTGCTCACACAGGCCCACACCTTTAAACATACGTGCTCATAACGTTACGAAACTATTGTTTTTACCATTTTTTTTTTGTTTTTTTGCCAACTGACGTGATTCAACTATACTTGGGATGCAACTTGAGCAGGCCAATTCGAATTTAACCCGAACCCAACTCAAAAAAAACAGGCCTTGAGTTAGGATTTTTAATACTTGAGTTGGGTTTGAATAAAAAAACCTTAATCTGAATTGAATTTGAGCAAGCTTCAGGTTGAGGTCTCGGGTTGTCGGGTTCAACTCGAATATTAAAATCGGGTTGAACTCGATTATTAAGTCGAATTGAACCTGAATATATATAAATATATTTAACTAAGGTTATTATTTATATTCACTCTTTACAGTTCAGATTTTCACTTCACTTCAACTCTTCACTTTTGTGTCTCCATTACTTTCAGATCCCTCTTTCATTCGTCCCTCTTCCCTCTCTTAGCCTCTTTCTCTCGATCGTCACTCGTCTGAGTTGTTTCAAACTCTCAGCCTGCCTCCCTCTCTCACTCACCACTCTTCTCTTTCTATCTCGTCACTCCTCCTTCCCTCTTCATCTACGTGTCGCCATTCATCTTAGATTATTTGAAAAAATCAAATTTACACTTGAAAAATCAAATCTACACTTCAAAAAATCAATTAGAATTAAGTAACCAAAGAACTCGATTTTTAACCCGAATTAAGTAATTCAAATTCAACCCGAACCTGTCCGAATTAAACTCGGGCAGTACCTCGGGTTGAGGTAGAGTTAGAGTTAGGGTTAGGGTTGACGATTATATAGTTAGAGTTGACCTTTCAACCCGTCCAACTCGCCCGAATTGCACTCCTAAACTATACTGCTATAAATAATTATGAGATCTAATATGACCCACCAATTCATTGAGTGTGTGAAGTATTTTTTTTTGGTTTCAACGGTTAGCGATGTTCTGGTGAGCTTTCACAAGAGATAATTTTTTTAGAATTTAATCTAAAAAATTGTCAAATTTTAAATTCAAGATGTTTAAGTTTATAATTTATCTCTGTTATCACACGAACTTCCTTTAAAATTAGTGCGTAAGTGTTACACAAATAGCCTCATNCTAAGGTTATTATTTATATTCACTCTTTACAGTTCAGATTTTCACTTCACTTCAACTATTCACTCTTGTGTCTCCATCACTTTCAGATCCCTCTTTCATTCGTCCCTCTTCCCTCTCTAAGCCTCTTTCTCTCGATCGTCACTCATCTGAGTTGTTTCAAACTCTCAGCCTCCCTCCCTCTCTCACTCACCACTCTTCTCTTTCTATCTCGTCACTCCTCCTTCCCTCTTCATCTACGTGTCGCCATTCATCTTAGATTATTTGAAAAAATCAAATTTACACTTGAAAAATCAAATCTACACTTCAAAAAATCAACTAGAATTAAGTAACCAAAGAACTCGATTTTTAACCCGAATTAAGTAATTCAAATTCAACCCGAACCCATCCGAATTAAACTCGGGCAGTACCTCGGGTTGAGGTAGAGTTAGAGTTAGGGTTAGTGTTAAGATTAAAGTTAGGGTTGACGATTATATAGTTAGAGTTGACCTTTCAACTCATCCAACTCGCCCGAGTTGCACTCCTAAACTATACTGCTATAAATAATTATGAGATCTAATATGACCCACCAATTCATTGAGTGTGTTAAGTATTTTTTTTTGGTTTCAACGATTAGCAATGTTCAGGTGAGCTTTCACAAGAGATAAATTTTTTAGAATTTAATCTAAAAAATTGTCAAATTTTAAATTCAAGATGTTTAAGTTTATAATTTATCTCTATTATCACACGAACTTCCTTTAAAATTAGTGCGCAAGTGTTACACAAATAGCCTCATGCACTCAACTTTAACACTAGTTGTAACTATCTATACATTCATAATTTAAAAGATCACAGCCATTCGTCCCACAAATCCTTCTCTGTGCAAAAATACAGCGCAAAATAAGAAAAAAAACGAACTTTCTGAATTCCAATCAATTGAACTGTCTAGGATCAGTGACATTGATCTTCAAATGCTCATCCTTCAACCCCATTTTCCTAGCCTTGTTTCTATCCCACTTCAACTCAATCTTTCTTCGCTCCGACAACCCACAAAACTTCTGCAAGCTCTCATCCATGGCGTCGTGAACTCTCCACCACCTTTCATGTGCCACGTCACTAGCATATACACGTTGATTACCAATGTCCCAGTTACAATCATAGTCCCTGTAACAACTCCATGGCTTTAATCCCAGATAATGTACAGCATACACTTTGGGAGGATCCGACCCGAATAATTGGTTCTTCACACTAGCTTCATTCGATGTGTTCGCCCAAAAGTTCTTCAAGTAATTCACCCTCCTTGGCAATCTATGCCACCACACGTACACTTCATTGAGGAAGCCTTGGTCACCTCCGTTATACGACACAATCTTTCTTCGATGTTCTATAAACATATTAAACGTACAATTCGATGGTTCGATGACCATAACACCTGAGTTGAATAATGATGCGTCGTTGCCCGTGGCAGACATTTGAGGAAAATGGAAGAGAATGTCAAGGTTGCGTAGGACTATGATGTCGGAGTCGATGAAGATGATCTTGTCATAGTCAGTGAGCTGCCATAGTCTGAACTTGCTGTAGTTGTATTCATTGTATGAGCCTTTTTCAGCTCTTGGGTTTCGGATCCTCTTGATGAGTCGGATCTTCCACCCGGCTTTGGCAAGAGCGTCACGTTTGGGCACAGAGATGGACTTGTCCAGGAGGAGGATAAGGTCCCGTTTCGTTCCAGTTTGGAGGAGACTTTGGGCCAGGGTTATTGCACCACAAACGTAGGTTTCGGAGGAATGAAGAACCGTGGCGTAGGCCTCTCGTTTGACTGTCTTGGTGTTACGTTCGATCTTGGACACATCATACACCTCGTTGATTTCTGTAAACCAATGTTTTTCAACTTGTTAATAGTCTTTTTAAATACCTTCTTAATTAGAAACTAGAATTGATAATTTTTTAGAGTTTTCTTAAATAGACTATTGTGATCGGAACTGATTTGATTGATTAAATACACAAAATAAACCCGATAATAGAGTCTGGATATACACATGACTATATATAAGTTGAAAATGTGATTTATAACAGTTTAAATATGAAATGAATCTGACATTATTATTTTAACTATACTTGATTATTATTAAACTTTGTACATATTAAATACATTTTCACACAATATAATTTCAAGTCGGACATCACGAGTATCATTTAAATATGGGTTTGATGGATTTCTTTTTTTTTTTTTTTGGGTTGGTATGTGATCCCCTAAAAGAGTAACCATTACTCCAACCATAAGGAACAATGGAATCCTAGTATAGAGTGGGAAGATATACAAGAAGGGGCCTGTAGCACCCGGTGGTTAATGTGTCTATTTCATATCAGAACATTTTGGTTCAACCACTACCTGACGTGTTGACAATTTGTTATTACCCATTTTTTAATCTATATTCATTTTTAGGTTGAAAAGCTTTCTAAAGGCAAGTGTAAGTATTTTGGATGAAGTCACAGGAAGAAGAAAGCATGATGAGCAGCAGGATAAATAAAAAGGTAAAATACATTTTTGGTTTTCAAAGTATGCATTTAATGTCTATTTGGTCCCTAATCTTTTAATTTTGTGTATTTATTCCCTAAGATTTCTAATTTATATCAATGTGGTTCAATCTCAAACATCCTTCATAAAATCGTGACGGTTCAGATCATGCGTCAATCACGTGGTTATTAATTTTGTGTCTATTCGATCAATAAAATTCCTAATTTATGTTTATTTAATTTCACGTGATTAGTGCGTGACCAAAGCCATTAATAATTTTCTGATAACCGCTTGAGATTAGACCATATAGATAAAAATTACGAATTTTATGGACCAAATAGATACAATTGAACGAACGAGTGGGAACCANATGTTTATTTAATTTCACGTGATTAGTGCGTGACCAAAGCCATTAATAATTTTCTGACAACCGCTTGAGATTAGACCATATAGATAAAAATTACGAATTTTATGGACCAAATAGATACAATTGAACGAACGAGTGGAAACCAAATAGACACNTTTTCTGATAACCGCTTGAGATTAGACCATATAGATAAAAATTACGAATTTTATGGACCAAATAGATACAATTGAACGAACGAGTGGGAACCAAATAGACACATTTTAAAGACTAAAATTGTATTTTACTCTAAATAAAATTTGAGACTATAGGTGAACACAACCCAACTTAATATGTAATTAATAAGTGTTAGAATTGTATGTTACTGACACCAACATGTTAACATGATTCCATGAATAATGAACTAGTTAGATTATGTCAAACATAAATAACATAATTTTAATAAAACAAAGAGATTAAATTTAACATTTTACGACGTTCGAGTTGCATAACATTTTTTATATTTTAAATAGGTAGGCCATGAACCCTTTATAGAATTAAAAAAAAAAAAAATTAACTTGACTTTGTATCATAAAAATAGTTGGATTCTTCCAGAGAACATATAAGTGGTGAATTTGATTAAAAAAACAAAAAAAACTCTTGATTTTATATTCCTAATTCACAGATTAACGATAAATAAATAAATTGATTAATATAAGATAAGTAAGTATTCCCTTGCGTGTGTTCAAAAAAAAAGAAAAAAAAAATTTCAACAAACGAAGGCACAATGCAACTTCTTGGTAAGCAAAGGGGTTGAAACTGTAAAAACAGTGATTAAAGTAACTAGATTTTGAAACCTGACCTTTTCCCCAGAGAGGCAGAGCCAAATTGCAGGACCCAACAGGCAACGAAATCTTCTGCTCCAACTTCACCATGTCCGGCTCATAAAACCACCACTCCCTTTCCTGTTTCACCAAGTCATCGCACCGGAAAAGCTCCATCATTGGTCTGCACTTGCTCAGCAACACCACCTTCGTCCTCCTATTCCACCCTCTCCTCCCATTCTTCACCGCCAAATTCGCCGCCACAAGATGAACTTGCAGCCTAAAAACATCCCTCCCCCACCCTTTTTCTTCATACTTGCAAGGCAGTTTCACCACAATCATGTCCATAGTTCCATAGCTCTCAAAGCTTGGCATCGGAATCTCGGGGCACGCCGGCCCTTCGATCTCCTCCTCCTCATCAATCCATTCTGGAAACAAGTCTTTCCATTCAAAATACTGAGAGACTTGCTCAAAATATATGGGTATAGTCTTTCCATGGATTTTCCAGTCACTCACATCCTCGTCTCCCATATTCACCATTCCCATCTTCAACCCAATGCCCATTTCATTCAAAAAGCTCGGTTTCTCTCTCTTTACCATTTGTCTTAGAGGCTTCGATTGGTTAGCTCCTGGTTCTTCCAAGACTGCCTTCATCTTAATCCCTTTGTCCCCCTGAAAGCATTCAAATTTGAGAAAATGGGTATTCAAAAGACACTACATTTATTTTAAAAAAACAGTGAGGCTCTCGTTACTGCGAATTTGGAAAAAACTGGAAAACATGGTCAACCATTGAGCAAGCTCACCTTACCTTGTGATGGCATTCGCGCAATGAGCACCGGACAAGGGATGCTGCATTCTCATGATAGACAGATGAAGATGGCCGGAGAAGAAGGGCGGCATAGACGAGGAGGAAGAAAGCAAGGAAAACCAGGTTGACTCTGATAACCAGAGCCTTTGAAGGATAACCGACCTTCATCATCTTTTGAAGACCTTCAAGTCCTCCAAACACCTTCGGTTTATGGTGTATACAACTGTTATATATATGTGCCAACTTTCCCTAACCTTAAAATATTTAATGTGGTTGTAGTTAATTATGATGAATAACATATTTAAGGAGAGACTTGGCTGTAGTTGTTGGGTTGCAGCAAGTACCAAATTAGAGGAAAATTTAAAGTGAAGTAATTAAGACCACTTGGAGAGCTACAAATGGCGTTTTCCTGTTACGAAGTAATAATGTTTATCCGAATATACTTGATCGTTGAATAAAAAAAAAATNAAAATTTAAAGTGAAGTAATTAAGACCACTTGGAGAGCTACAAATGGCGTTTTCCTGTTTCGAAGTAATAATGTTTATCCGAATATACTTGATCGTTGAATAAAAAAAAAATAAGTAATAATGTTTGCCCGGACATTGCTTACCATTGAACTCAAAAGGAAAAAAAAAGAGCAAGAATGTTATTTGGACATAATTCAATGACATAGTTCATTATAATTATTGGATTGGCTGTGAGTTTTAATAAATATTGAATCCAATTTTAAATAATTATATCAATAAATTAATTCCAAATAATATTGNGCAAGAATGTTATTTGGACATAATTCAATGACATAGTTCATTATAATTATTGGATTGACTGTGAGTTTTAATAAATATTGAATCCAATTTTAAATAATTATATCAATAAATTAATTCCAAATAATATTGCTCACAAAAGAGTGGAAAGAATTAAGGCTTTTACTTATTTGGCATCTGCTGTTGGTGTTTGTGCTTCCTGTGCAATTTTTCTAGATTCCAAAAATATCCCATATTACTTCAACTATTCACATTTTTCTTTTCAGAAACCTTTTTCATATTCACGAGAATTAGCATTCAAACTTTATATAAAGTTTAACATCGTGAGTTTCAATATATTTTACAAGTTTTATACCCTTATCAAAATCGCGAGAGAATTAGTCGAGTAATCTAAGAAACTTGAATATCTTGTAATTTGTCATAAAATTTCATAAATACAAAAGTTGAGTGTAAACTTGTTATATAGTTGTATATTATCAATTGATTGATTTTTATAGGAATTGGATCACACATCGAGCCGATAAAAAGACCGAATGATTGAGTCACTGGTTTAATCGTTAGATTAACTGGTTGGATTGGTCATATATTTAAAAAATATAAAATAAATTATAATAATTATTGACATTGACATCCCACCATTGATAAAAGTCATTAGTAAAAGAGTTTTAACCCATAATTTAACCAAAGAGGTTTATGGCATTTACATAAAACCAAGAGATGGGTAAAACAGTAAAATTAGCAATTGTGGGCGGCATGGAAGTTCACAATAGGAATGTTGGTATTAGCAGGAAAGCCAGGCACGGCCAACCAACTTTATGGTTGCCCCGTCAACTTCTAAAATGCAGCGAAATGTCGCTTTTAGCCGTTAGGAAATCGCAAGGCTCCACCAATATTTCATCTTGTTTATGTATAATATTGTAATAATCCTATCATTCTTAACAAGATTATCAATGGGTGTTTAGGTTGGATTATTACATCGCACCAAAAGTGTTGCCATGTTTTGCACGAATAGTATGATTGCTTATCACAACAATAATACTCAATCTAATTCCTTAACTCGAGTTAATGATGTAGCCGTGTGTACCTCTTGAATCNGGTTGGATTATTACATCGCACCAAAAGTGTTGCCATGTTTTGCACGAATAGTATGATAGCTTATCACAACAATAATACTCAATCTAATTCCTTAACTCGAGTTAATGATGTAACCGTGTGTACCTCTTGAATTGACAATGAATCTCAATCAATATTAAAACTAACATAGGAAAATTAGCGAATTACATCAATAACTTATGTCAAAGTAGCATTAATTGTATCACAGATCTAAATTTTCTCAAATACACGTATTATATACATACAGAAAACTCTCTTCAACAGTAAATCCCACTTAATTTCGTAACAAACGATCTACCATTGGGGAAAAAATCGTGAGGAAGTATTGTGATAGGATTCAACCACAATTACCCTTCATGTCAAAGCATAAGTAATTCCAAATGAGGAAAGCTAAATCCTAAAACAAAGTGCCAAAAATTCAAGCAAGTACCAAGGCATCCTCAAATAGAAATGTGGTGTTCAGTGGAAATTAACACAAAGGGAAAATGAATATAGTCATATCAATGGTCCTTATTTTTTTGGAACTCCTGCCATTTGCCACCAGACATAATCATTTTAATTCTATGTTTCATAAGAATGTGCCCTAGCCAGTTGTGAGTAAATTATAAAAACTATTGTCTTCCATTCATTCAGCTGAAAAACAAAAGGCCAAAGCAGCATCATGTTCATAATGTATATCATAAATACAATCAATCCTAACAAACATAATCCCACGGAATGATACAGTATAGCCAAAAAGAAGTTGGCAGTTTCCGAACTTCACCAAATCGCATGTTTTTTCAAGGAAAATACCAAATTGCATGTTAGTTGATCGGCTTCACCAATTTTTGACTGATGGCACATCTCTTCTCTGTACTTTTAACGACTCCAAACCATCATCTGAAACTTGAGAAATTCATTTTACCTTAAAACACATACACATAAGTGCCCACACAACCAGAGAGAGAGATAGCAACTGATGAGACATGAAACCTAACCTGCTTTGACAGGCGACAGTAAATGTAAGCTGTTTGCTTGCTTCTAGATGCTATCATATAGAAGTTCTATACCCAATTTATCATGCTTTTGCAACTTCTTGAATGTGTTGAGAGTGACTTTTACCAGGCGGAATGAAAATCAGATCTTCCCAGCCCGAGCTCTTCTCACTTATCTGGCATCCAAGACGAGGGAACTATTAAGGTGCTGAAATCCCAATATTAACAAAGAATTACATATTCAATAAATCCACTATTATCCCCCAACTACCTCTATTTTTCTGAGAACATCTTCCAAACTTCCCACCTGTTGATAAAGAAAAACAATTATATCAGAACTCGACAAAAAAACATTACCTGGGAAATACATTAACAATAACTACATTTCTTTAACAACAAAAAGGAAATATCTTGCACAAGATTTTAATGAGATGCAGAAAATCATAGTTCATAGGTCAAGGGAGAGTTATATATTAGTCTAGGTAGATCATATTCGCAAACTGTCTATTAAGTTTGGAAAGAAGAATTCCTGATTTTCTTGGAAGAATTCCTGATTTTCTTGGATATTTCAGCCACCTTACTGCTAACACATTGGATTTCAATTTTACATATACAATGAATTTCACTTGAAATTATTATTTTCAAATAAATAGTGGAAGACTGTTTTAAATGCAAAAACTGTACAAAGATAAAACGTGACAAGATTACTGTATAGAAGATAACAGTCATCGTAAATGTGCAACTTCAGATTTACTGCAGGACCTTTTGAGATATCACTGAAAACAGTTTTTTCCCAAACTCCTTGAACAAGCTATGATTACAAACAAGCAATCGAGGAAATTGATAAAAATAGAGATACCATAATGTGTGGTGAAACACCAGGTCCTCTTGATGCCCTTGAAACAGTTGACAATTCTTTTTCTATATCTTCCTGTTATAACAACATGCAAAAACTTGATTTGTAAGCCACAAACTCATAATTGTATCTTTACCAAGTGTGGTGTTTTTGAAGAAATTCACAATGTCAAACACACCTTCCGGAAATATATTGGGCAGTATCGCTTGTTTTTCTTCTTCACAACCAGCAGGTCTGACTGTAGACACGTGAAAATAAAATTAATTATAACAATTACCCATGAAAGCAACAGTGCAAATCTTGAAATTTCAGACAGCTATGAACTCAAACTCAGGTGCAGGGCAGAGACCACAGGAGTGAACGCAACTGAACCACTAGGTTTGAGAAAGAGGTTGGCTTCGATGTCAGGGGAGGGAGCAACGATTCCCTTACCAAGAAGTTGAGATCATGGTTCAGAGTCGCGGTATCAGTCATCAACTCGAAAGCCACTGGTACACATCAGTCGTAGTATCGCGGCACCGCTGGCACAGNAGAAGTTGAGATCATGGTTCAGAGTCGCGGTATCAGTCATCAACTCGAAAGCCACTGATACACATCGGTCGTAGTATCGCGGCACCGCTGGCACAATATTGGCCGATACGCAAAAAATATAAATAATAGCATCAATGATTTATATGTCCAAAATAAATCATCTAGCACATCAAATATAATGAAAATTGAATATAAAAGTGTTACCGAAAATAATTACCATTATTAGTGTTCACTTTAGATATTTATGAATGTACTTGTTAAGNGATATTTAAGAATGTACTTGTTAAGTTTAGAGGATTAACACAATATTAGAGAGCAACAGAGATAGGTTAAAAAAACATAACCTAACTCTCATACATCACTTGTATTTATAGTTAACTCACAATAATAAGAATTACACATAATACCTTAACACTATTAACAATTTACACATACTACCCTAATACTCTTAACACTCCCCCTCAACCTGGACTATATATATCATATAATCCAAGCTTGAAACAAATAGCTGTAAAACGTGTACGACTCAATGCTTTGGTAAACATATGTGCAAGCTGATCTTCAGATTTCACAAATAGAGTCGTAATCTCCCCAGCTACTATCTTGTCCCGAATAAAGTGACAATCAACCTCAATATGCTTGGTTCTCTCGTGAAACACAGGATTGATAACGATATGGATAGTTGTTTGATTGTCACAGAACAACTGTGAAGGAAGTTAAATTGGAAATCCAATTTCTTGGAGGAAGTGTAGTAGCCAAGTCAACTCACTGGTCATATGTGTCATTGCCCTATACTCAGTCTCTGTACTGGATCTTGCTACCACGGGTTGTTTCTTATTTTTTCATGAGACAACATTACCTCCTAAGAAAGTACAATAACCAGTGGTTGATGTCCGATCAGAAGGAGAGCCAGCCCAATTAGCATCTGAGAAACTTTCCACTCTAAGATG